TTTTTCTCCTAGATCCCACGCATTACCCCCACACAAGCGACAGTTTTTCTCCTTAAAATCCCTGAGGAGTTTTTTCACTGTGTGCTCATATTTTTCCATCCACTGACTCAGGACAACTGGCCTCGCCAACAGTCTAAAATAAAAATTTTCCGCCACCACTACACACATGTACAAATAGGGAACTCAAAGGAAATTTTCCTACATATCCCTCAATATACTGATGCTCATAATGATTTATCATTTATGACGATAATTCGAAGATCAAAATGGGAAATTTTGGCCAATTATTTTGTCTTCCTAATAATAACGTATGCGTATTATGCTAAATATGCATGGAGCTTAACATGTCGGTCTTTAACAGAACAGTTTTCATCATATATTTTTTTAATTCTAGGCTCAGTTCTGAGATAACGAAAACAAAAAAGAGTGGCCAAATATCGTCAACCATTTCAACAACTGATAGTTCTCTGTTCTTTCCGTTTATGGTGTTCCACTTCATTGATTCTGCTCTATGGAGAGACACAGTTTGGGCTTGTTATTTCCTTAAAGTTAAAATATTACAGCCACTTATGTGTACAACTTAATTGTTTGGCATAAAATTTGACAGATTTACAAAATATTACTTTTTAAGCTTTAGTCACTCTGCATTTCGCGACACTTATGCGTATTTTAACAATTAAACTTACTTCAGTATTTTTGAACTAAAAAATAATTGCCTGTTCTCTGAACACCTATAATTAAACCTTTTCTAGTCGTTTTACATTGTCAGTTATGGTACAACAATATGCTTCAATAAGATGATACAACAAGATGCTATCTTCCGTATCGTTTCATGGCGAAGGCAATTCCTTGGAATTCAACAAACTTTAAGTTCAGCTTAATAAAGCCACCCTTTTGCCAAAGTATACTGATCTGAACTGAAGTCTCATTGAAAACAATATTTTGTGCCTCGAGTCCACTCATTGGACGAAAAAAACAACCGCAAATTTGTTTAAAGCCACCACACAAATTGTGATCCTAACCATTAACCACATATAAAGTCTACCGTAGAAGTTGCAATAATACTAATCTGCTAATAATACCTCCCATTAGAGCCTCAACCACGAGGTGGCTAAGGATATAGGCACAAGAACATAAACCCACAAAGACAAGAGAGGCTAGGATGAACAATTCTGGTTTATTAGCCGTCGTCAGCTAGTGATAATTAGACCCAAGTGCTGTCAAACGCCTAAGACATTGAGTTAACAGCTATTTGCCTTTCAGATAGTGGTACGCGTATCAGCCACTTTATCCCTGATCTAATACCGGGTGCGTCCTCTAAAATTTTTGTGTACGCGTATATGCCGCACATTTACATGTACATGTAATATAAGCGACTTGTAGTACACCACACTTATTGTACCCCGTGAAGGCCTGGTACGGGTAGGCGGAGTCAGCAACATCATCAGCGAAATGTTTATTTGGCTTTTATATATTAGCTATGTCAGGAGGAAAGTATACCATAATTTCCATGCAGGCTACTTGTAGTATCACTCGTTTCAAGAATAGGTATCGCCTGGGTATTCCATGGCATTTGTTTATCTTCGACTCAAAAGTTCATAGAAATGCCGGTCAACATCCAAGTCGAAGATTATCAACTTCCGTGGAATAACCACACAGTCCTCATTCGACAAACTAGTATAATTACGAGTAGTATATATTGCATATGGCAGCAATGTTATACCGTACTCCCGACATGGCGGAAAGTCAGCGTACCTAGCAGTTGCGTTTTTTTACACCTTAACTAAATTTGTCACTCGGATTTCTGCAAGAAATATCCCGCCTGACAGAGGATGACAAGCGTTTGGATAATGAAACCGCCTTCTAGGATTTTTTTCTACACGTGGAAAAGTATATATCGATCTGGCATATGTCCATAGACCTTTTCATAACATAGAGGGCAATTTAGAAGAGAGAGGGAAATATTTGAACTCGTGACACTACCAGGACTATGTCAGCTGCAAAACAATATTATTAGAAAGTATATTCGGAAAGATATATCCTTAGAAATATTGGCGACCACACCAAAAGGCCTACTTCCACACCTACAGAAGGCACCGGTGTAGACTGATCATGAGAAACCAAGGGTTTAATGATTTTTAAACCAAAACCTGCAACAATGAGCCATATAAACTGATCAGTTAATTTGGTACCTACCAGAGGAACCGTGTTTTTTGGTTTTCTCTACTCATTAGCATTGTGTGCTATTGTCTGAGTCAATACTTGCAACCGTCTTTGCTATAGGTAGCTACGCAGAACGCTTCACTGAGCGTCGCATTTGCGTCAATAGACAGCGCTAAATGCACAAATGCAATAAGGTTTGCACAAGCCTGCTAGGTACCAGAATGCGTTACTTGAACCCTTAGACCATTATCACATAAGGACCTTCAATTATTAGTTGGTTTTTACCGACATTACTCAGTTTGATACCTACGCACCCAGCATTTTACCCAGCCAATAGGAGCTTCCGACAAACAAAAAAGATCATCAGACGTACACTTTAAAGGTTTTCTGAAGAACGCTGCTCCATTGTAGACCGTTTAAAATCTGTTGAGTGTTGTCAGCGTGCAGGTTTTTTGTAGGATATGCAATGTTGAAAATGACGCTTCTACGAATATTCTTATCGCAGTGCCCTCTATTTCAATCCCAAGGATTTAAAAACCGTCCACTGCGCGTCGTTGTCTCGATTGTCCTCACCACCTACGCCTTGCTTTTGGGTCTATATGTGCTGTCCCAGTCAACGCAGCACAGTGCAAAGTCAACCTCCTACTCCTTATCTTCTGCTAAGAGAGGCAGAGAGGCAGTCTGCGCAAGCGACTGGTACGCTTCTATTTGGGCCAAGATTGGCGTTAGTTACCGCCTTCAACTGAAAGTACCAGTGGATCCAACCGTCGCAAAAACCCACTTTGACCGTGTTTCCAGCAGCATAGTGGTGAAATACGACAGTTGTCCATGCCTGCTCTCCTTCGAGGATATGGCTGAGATCGAGGATCGATTCTGGCGTCTGCGTGTGGGCAAACAAGTTTACCGGCTGTATCCACAGAGCCTAAACATGTCAGATGTCGTTATCAGAGTGAAGTGCAGTGCCGGAGGTAGGTTCCCATGATGCCATATTCATAAACTGTTTCCGTGTGGTGAGGACAAATAGTGGTGTTCCTGGTGATTGTGATCAATAAGTTGATAATGGTAATTATGGTCTCATAATTCTTCTCTAAGATCGGCCCGTTTTTGAAACTACTTGGTATTCATTTAAAACGCAAGTTTCAATTTATAGCGAGGTTTTACGCAAAACTTTGAACGGGGAATCGTTGAGGTTATTTCTCAGAGCCTGCATTTACAATAAAACAGAGCGTTTATATAAGTCGATAGAAAAATAATAATTTCACAAGCACACATGTATTAAGCAGCCAACAACTTACGGCACCCACTGCGTTGGAGCCCGTGGCGCTACGATGGTGTTTGAATCAATGACCACAGGTCCCGGGTTCAAATCGAAGGGGCTCCAAACCTTTAGATTGGGTATGACTGGCTGATGACGGCTCACAAGCCAGAAATGGCCATTCC